GCAAACAAAGCCTATTTCGCGATGGGCCACATATTCAAATCGCGAGACGTACACCGGAAAACAAAACTCCGGGTATATAAAACAATAATCCGACCCATAGTAAGTTATGGGTGTGAAACATGGGTTATAACACAGAAATCTACCAATGCATTAGACATGTTCGAAAGAAAAATATTGCGTAGAATACTGGGTCCAATAAAGGAAAATAACAACTGGCGAATTAGATATAATAACGAAATATACGAACAATACACTGAACCAACACTAGCACAATACACTCGACTGCAAAGATTACGATGGGCAGGGCATGTGGTACGCATGCATGAGAACAGAATCCCCAGAAAATTACTAAACGCAAGAATGCAAGGAAAAAGACCTGTTGGAAGACCAAAAAAGAGATGGGAAGACGAGGTAGATGAGGATGCCAAAAATCTCCTAAAAACGCGTTCATGGAAAAGAACAGCAGTAAAGAGAGATGTTTGGAGAGGTTTAATGAAGGAGGCCAAGGCCCGGCTTGGGCTGTAGTGCCATTGGATGGATGGAATGTAGAGTAAAGTGTTGCTTAGTAAAACAGACAAACGTAATAACGTCGATAACTTTCTTCTTCTTCTACGGCACTACAGCCTAAAATGAGCCTTGGCCTCCTTTATTTTTTGCCTCCACCCTTGTCTGTCTGTGGCTGCTCTTCTCCATACACGGACTCCTAAAAGTGCTTGTGCGTCGCTGCTTACTGTGTCTTCCCAGCGCTTTCTTGGCTTTCCAACTGGTCTCTTTCCCTGCATTCTGGCGTTAAGTGCTCGTTTTGGTAGCCTATCCTCTCCCATTCGTATCACATGTCCGGCCCATTGCAATCTTTGGATTCTAATGAAGTTTGACAGGGGTGTTTCCTTATACAGTTGATAGAGCTCGTTGTTATATCGAATTCTGAAGATTCCGTTTTCCCTCACAGGTCCTAGTATTCTCCTCAGTACTTTTCTTTCGAATGTGTCGAGTTTGTTTTTGGATGTCTCTTTCAGGACCCATGCTTCGCTGCCATAACATGCTATTGGCCGAATTAAAGTTTTATATATTCTCATCTTTGTATTTCGGTGGACACTTTTAGACCGAAATATATGGGAGAGGGCAACATAAGCTTTGTTTGCCTGCGTTATCCTTTTTCGTATTTCTCCATCCTCTGCTCCATCGGCATATATTTCTACTCCCAGGTATGTAAACTTTCCAACCGTTTCAATGTCATCTTCATGTATAATGTTTTGTGGGATTATATTTCTTCTCGTCTGTACCATTAGTTTTGTTTTTTCTGTGTTAATTTCCAGACCTAGCCTTTTCGTTTGTGTTTTTAACTCTGCGTATGCTTCCTGTGCTCCTGTTGATGTTCTACTCATAATATTAATATCATCGGCGTAGGCAGCCAGTTGAACCGTTTTATTGGTCAGTAGGTTTTCTCGTCCAGTTTGCATTTGCCTGACCGCATACTCCAGTGCCAGGTTAAACAATGTTGGTGCCAGCCCATCTCCCTGCTTTAGTCCCTGCGAGATTTTGAAAAAGTCTGTCCGGTTGTTTTGTATTCGTACACATGCCTAAGTTTCATCCATTGTGGCTTTAATGAGTCTAATTAGCTTATGTGGTATTGCTAATTCTGCCAATATATAGTATAGTCTGTCCCTTTTGACTGAATCGTATGCCTGTTTGAAGTCTACAAACACGTTGTGAACATCAATGTCGTGTTTCCACGATTTGCTCAAGACCTGCTTGACTGTAAATATTCGATCCATTGTCGATCTTCCCCGTCTGAAGCCCGTCTGATATTCTCCAATAATATTTTCTGCTAGTGGTTGGAGTCGCTGGTTTATAATATACGTGAGGACTTTATACGCTGTACATAGTAGAGAAATTCCACGGTAGTTTTTGCATTGGAGTTTGTCTCCTTTTTTATAGATTGGGCATACTATACTTTTCTTCCATTCGTCGGGTATTTTCTCTTCTTGCCATATTTCTTTGATAAGCGCGTGAATATGACTTGATAGGTGGTTGCCACCTACCTTATACAGTTCTGCTGGAATCTCGTCAACTCCCGGGGCTTTATTGTTTTTCTGGGCCTTAATAGCTTCGAGAACTTCCTCTATGGTTGGAGCTTCTACTTCAACTTCGTTCTCTTCTACATGGTTCGTACCCATTTCATCTTCCATATCTACTTGTGTTCCAAGTAGGGTCTGAAAATAATGCTTCCAGGTTTCTGTGACTTTCTGTTGGTCACTGATTATTTGCCCAGTCGCCTAAGTCGATAACTTTACAGTTCACAATTATTGCTTCTTATTTTTTAAAAAGTGCTTTTTTGAAATTTTTTTAGGATTGAACATTCAATAGCAGGGGCGACAAGAGGCATCCATACTGTATGCCTCTTTTATTGTTAATTGCCGTGATTCCAAACCGTCTGGAATTTATTTATTATATAACAAACACCACTTTAAAAATAAATAAGTGCATACTTTTCTAAAACTGATAAACCAGCTGCACTGATAAAAATTGGACCATTTCAAACAAAATAAACACTTGAACAAAAATATTTTCTAGCAGTTCTATAATTATTTTCGTTATCTTGCTATGCTTTTGACTTTAATTTATTTATGTGATAACATTAACTATATTATCATATAATAGTAAGAAAATATTTTGAAAAATATATGTCAACAGGATCAGTTAACTTTAATTTTATCAGATTATAATAGTATAATACTTTATGAGGCGGAGAAGCATGACTTTAGTCATGCGTAATAGAGGGCAAGTCAAGAAAAGTCGCTTCTTTGCTGAATAAAGTATACTATTTTTTCTTCAAACGTAACAATTTTCAATCATAAATAGTACAATTCATACGCTTTTTTTACTCGAAATTAACTGTGACAACTATCAAAGTCGTCTAGATGTTAGAAATTAAAATAATTAAGTCGTCGGTGGGATTTGCGTCTCCCTGGTTACAGTCGTTTGACAGTTGTTTGCAATTATTAAAGACAGCTTATTGTTGTTGCAACCGCAAGCGCAAATTTAGTGCGAAAATGGAAAACCTAAACGAAATTGAGTCCGCGGCCAATGATGCAGTAGCACATTTGGGCTCTCCAAGTCCGGAATAAAGTATCGGTTAGCCTACAAGCACTTCCAAGAGTGGTGCGATACAAGAGGAGTACAGCAAGTTACCGAAGACGTTTTACTGGTATATTTTAATATAATGGAAAATGAAAATAAATGGAAATCTTCTACAATGTGGTCACGATGCTCTATGATAAAATCCGAGTTAGTTATTAGAAAAAATGTCGATATAAACAAATTTTTAAAGATACGTGCCTTTCTGAAAAAAAAACAAGCGAAGGATATACTGCAAATAAGTCTAAAGTTTTCACTAAAGACGAGTTTAATAAATTTTGTTTGAAGCGCCAGATAAGTTGTATTTAGAATTAAAGGTAAAAAAAATTATATTGCAAAGCATGTAGTATACTCTACTAAATAATAAAAATATTTCAGATTGTTTTGTTAATTGGGGTTACCGGCGCCTGTCGATGCGACGAAATGGTAAAAATGAAGACTGAGGACATTGAGGATAAAGTAAATGTAATAATTATCAAAATCCCAGACAGTAAAACACGAAAAATTAAATCTTTTACGATAATTAGTCAAAAGTGCATTAAACTGTATAAAAAGTATGCATCACTGCAGCCTGAAAATTTCACAGAAAACCGATTTTTTATCAAGTACCAAAATGGAAAGTGTTACCAAAGCGTCATGTAAATACACTCGATCAGCGCAGTGGCCCAAAAAGTAGCTAGTTATTTAAATTTAAACGATTCAAACGCATACACGGGTCACTCTTTACGACGAACTTCAGCAACACTTTTAATTGATGGAGGAGGAAATCTAGAATGCCTCAAACGACATGGGGGCTGGAAATCAAGCACGGTTGCCGAAGGATATATAGAGGATTCAATAAGAAATAAGAACGATAATGCTCAAAAAATTTTAAACCCTCAAAATTCGCCAACATTTTTAAAAATGCCTTATTAACTAATTGTACTTTTACTATACTATACTACTACTATAAATAAAAATGATGTTTAATTGTTGTTAATGACATTTATATTGTTGCTTTGTGACATGTTTTATATTTTTGCCAAGACAACAATTTTCCCTTCGCCGTAAAGAAATGGGAAAAAATGCTGCCTGCGGAGACATCAAACTTTGACAGGATCAAGTTAGATAAGTAATGTCATCATTATTTGACGTTTGAAGAAAAAAGTATTTTTTAATTTTCAATAAACAATGAAGTTTGTTTCGAACCATTAGTTTAAATTTGAGGTATTAATATAAAATAATATTATATTTTATTTGATATTTTAAAGAAATATTAGGAAAAATTATTTTTCAGCGCTCCTTACAACAATAATTGTAAGTTGCCTACGTTTGGCACAACTCAACTACTGTAAATTAATAAATAAAATAATGATGAACATTTTAAAATTATTTTTAATTCTATTTATTTCATAATTTATTTAATTTTAATTTATAAAGACATAACATATCTCCTCATCTAAGCAAGAATCTTTGATGAACTGGTTTCTTCAAAGATTTGATTTCCCGTATGGTGACCCTGTATATTTGCTTATACTTCATCTGAGAATATATATTTCATCTGAGAATAAAACCACAATGTAGAAATAAAAAGATTTTTTATTTATTTTGTAGTCAACCAAGTCTAGCTAATTAACTTTTTCGAATTTACAGACATATTTTTTTAAATTAACATTTTGAATAAAACTATTTTATTCAAGGTACACCCTAAAAATAAATATATATGACTAAGAAACGCGAAAAATGATATTGTTGAGTTTCTCCAGAAATTATTTATATAAATATAATAATTTAATCAATGTTATCACTGTTATGATTCAGGTGGCCCATTTTTGAAGTATTTAACTTATTGTATATAAAGTAAAATGTAAGCAGTGGATATCATTGTAAAATATAATTCTCAACATGAAAACTATATTGATTTTGGCACTTTTGAGCTGCGTTGGTAAGTAAATTGCTTTCATAACTTACTATAACATTTTTTTTTATTTTCAATTAGAACTATTCGTGGTATATTTACTTTTATAATTAATTGATGTTTGACATATTAGGATTCATTTCATGGTACAAAAACTCAACATTTTATATTTAAAATACGTGATATTTATTTTTCGAAATTGTTTAGAAAGTTACTAAAATTGATTTTACTATCTTTACAGACACACAAATTATTTTTCTAGTTTAACAGTTTGTTAAATATGTTAAATCAGTTGTTTTTATATTTTAAAGTGATTATTCCTTTGCAGCTCTTACCATCTGCGCTCAAGGTCCTGAGCCTACCGAAGGACCTGAACCTGAGCCCACTGGTGAGCCTGATGAGTAAGTAAAAATTAATTAAAATACTAAAGTACCTGTGCAATCAAGTAAAGTTAAAATATAAGTCTTTAACGAGCCATTCACGTTTCGATTTTTAGTCCGACTATTATTCCAACTTTCGCAGTTGGATCTGAAATCGGACCGTAAGTAGGCTGGTTGGACTAATTGAATCGAATCACACGTCGCGCGTCGGATGGAAAATTTCCCCATTTAGTTGACCTTCGACACCTGTTACGTATGAGATTTCTATGAATTACTTTCCCTAGTTTGCAAATATTTAATAAAAAATAAACTTGTAATTGCACGAAAATTACCGCTATTAAAATACACGATTCTTCATTATCATCTACTTTTTGTTAGGTCAAATCATTTTACTTTCTCTAGATCTATTTCGGACACTCCCACACATGTACACACAGTAATTTTATATTAAAAATAAACCAACAAAACCTTACCCATGATATTAAAATAAACTTGATAAATTTAGTATCATATTCCGAATAAAACAAAAATGTTTTTTTTTCAGACAAAAGTGCGACACTTGCATAACATTGACATCTATAATCAGAGACTACATTGACGAAAAAGTTCCACTGGTAAGTTTTATAAGTATTATAATGTAGTTAGCATCGAAAATTTAGCATTAAGATTCCATAGTACAGGCAGAAATAGGAAAACACTCAATGATACATTCTAAGAATAGTTCAGTGAAGCACTCACGAAAGCAGAAGAAACAATAGAAAGTATTTGGCACACTTTCAGAACAATAATCACAACTATACAAAGAGAACAACCACAAGACAACATTAGAAAAACAAAGAATACATTGATGATAGAACTGTCCTAGAACTGATGGACACAAGGAGATCTTACAAAAATCGAAATGAAAAAAAATATAAAGAAACCCAGAGAATCATCAGAAATAAAATCAGAAAATGCACAGAAGAAAGGATGAGCAGCAACTGTGAGGAAATGGAAAATTTACCAAAAAAGCATGACTACTTTAATGTATGCTAAGTGATTATGGAAGTCACAAATATAAAGAAAAAAATAACTACAACAACTTTAGTAGACGATAACAACCAAATAGTATCTAGTCCAGAAAATGTAGGAGATACGTAAGAAACATACAACAAAGATCTGTTTGATGACGAGAAAACAGAACCACAAATTAATATAGTACAAGTAACAATACTTGATATATTAACATCGGAAGTTATAAAATCATTAATACGGCAAAGCCAAGAAAAGCTTCAGGTACAGATGAAATATACATAAAGATGATACTTTTTAATGAAGAAAATCTTCAGACGTTAACACTATTATTTAACAAAATATATACCACTGGAATCTTCCCAAAAGACTGGCTTAAATCGACATTTATACCTATACCCAAAAAAAAAAAGATAAAGCAAATAGATGCTTACAGTTCAGATTAATTATACAAATTTTACTTAAAATTGTACGTCAACCAATATACAGAGAATGCGAAACAAATCTGAGCGACAATCAATTCGGATTTCGTGCACTGTTACACGTGCACCAAATGTCAACATTAATATTCCAATCTATAACAAACATATAGAACCAGTACAAAGAGTTGCTGGATAACAAACGATCTTGACCACGAGGTCGAAATACGTGCTCGTATAGAATATGCTAGGTCCGCATTTCAACGAATGAAAAAATTCTTAATAAACTCTACATTATCGTTAAATATGCGATACCAATTTGTAAAAACGTATATTTATTCCATATTGCTATACGGAGTGGGAACATGGACTCTTGGAATTTCAAGTATAAGGTGTATAGAAGCCTTTGTGATGGGGGTTTTCTGAAGGATGCTGAAGATCTCTTGAACAGAGCACGTGACTAACAACGAGGTGCTAAGAAGAATGAGTACTGAGAGAGAACTCCCAAATATTGTAAAAAACAGAAGAACGAGTTATCTACGACATATATACAAAGGAGAAACATACAACTTCCTACGACTTATAATGGAAGGGAAAGCAGAAGAAAGAAGAGGTCCAGGAAGAAGAAAATGCTTCTGGTAGAAAAACGTAAGAGACTGGACGGGCATGGACACACATTCGATTCTAAGAGCAGCTTAAGATAGAGAGAAATTTTGCTGTAGTTTTAGCCAACCTTCAGTAATAAAGAAGGTACTTTAAGAAAAATAATTTACTTAATAATATTTTTATTGTTAAGGGCTTGACCAGATAACAAGAAACGGCATTGCTGCAGTAAGTAGTCGCGCGATATTTATAGTAGAAGAAGAGTTTTTTTAGTTGTGTAAAAAAAAGGTTTAGTTACAAAATTATTTATTGACAAGCTAAAGATTCAATAAAGTACTTTGTAGTTAACTAATTTTCTACCATCGTTAACGTAAGATACAGGATACTTGAGGAATGCTTTATCTGAGCACAACAAAAATAAACGCATCATCAATTAACTTCTTCAGTTTTCTTAGTAATAAGCTGTGAGCGTTGCTTCCAAATGAATTATAACCCATCATCGTCAAGTGCGATTTTTTTGATCACAAGTTATTTACTAATACGATCAATCCTAAGTATGTTTTAATCTAAACTATTCTTTTTTTACAGGACGAGGTTAAAAAGGATCTTGAAAGAATATGCCACGATTTGCCAGATCAGTTGAAAGAAATTTGCGAAAAGCAATTGCTTCCAAATCTTGATAAAGTCTATGAGGATCTCCAAAAACATACACCTTACGAGTTGTGCCAACAATATAAAAATTGTTAGAAAAAAAAATGTGATTTGAATATGAACATTTACTTATAAAAATGCGAAATAAATTTTTAAATTCTGCAATTATGTTTTCTTGTTTTCCTTTTCTTATTATAAAAATTATCAAAATAAGATTAAACTGTCATTCTAATGTTAAAAAGTACTGTGTAATGATCATTTTCTCAGAGTATCTGCAAATTATATAATTAAAGTAAATTATAAAAAAAATGAGCAATTTGATTGAAAAGAGAGATTTATTTGGATTTTTAAGGGTTTATAAGGTTACAAGTAAGTCGATGTTAAAAAACTGTACCATCCCAATGTTTGATTGAAGGCGAGTAAATAAATTTATACAAATGTGCTAAAATGCAGAACTACAGGAACTATAAACGAAAGTGTGACCATTAAAATAACAATACCTGAAGAACGATATAGAGAAAGTAAATCGTGAATGATCGATGAAATATTTGAACTTGTGGATCATAAAAAATTGTGGAGATAAAAAACAAAGAAAATGTCCTCCAAGAATATAAGAGAATACATACCGTCAGAAAAAAAATAAGGGAAGCCAAAGAGGAAGAAAAAACAGAACAATGTTAAGAAATAGAGAATACCAGAGTCGATAAAATAACTTCAATGTCCATCGACAGGTAAAGAAAATACCTGGAAAGTTCCAAAAACTCAACAGCGAAAAAATAACAGATAATAAAGGCAATCTTTCCATAACTAAAGAAAGTAAAAAGAAATTATGGGAAGAATACTTAAAGAAACTTTTCCACAACCTTAGATCAATACAAGAACCCACCATTGATGAAAATTCAGATTTTGAAATCCTACCAGAAAAAATAACGGTAGCCTTCCAAAAACCAAGAGCAATATAACAATCGCGTATAACAAAAAAACAAACACGCAACATTTCTAGAAGAAAGTTTAATGCTGAATATTTGGTTAATGTAGGGGAGATGGAAATTAAACTATGTAAGACTGAATTAGTAAGTGTTCATGGTCTTCAAAAATCTCGTGGAAGAATTTAATATATTTTTAAAATGAAGTCACTCGGCATCAGGCATCAAAAAAACGTTAATAACGAAGAACAAGAAAAAGAATTAACTACTTTCTTTAACGTACATACTGCTCGAGCTGACGCTATGCAATCTTTGCTAAAAACTGAAAAAAAAACGAATGTGTTACAAATAAATCCAAATTGGTAATCTCGTTTGACTTACAGCAAAGTATGCCGCTGCCAAATTTAACCACTGGTCCTGCATTTTACTGCAGAAAACTGTGGCTTTATAATTAGGGGATTCACCACTGTACCAATGATAAAGAACACATGTACTTATGGACCGAAGATCAAGCTAAGCGCGGAGCAGATGAGGTTATTTCTGATGTGATGAAATTTTTGAAGAACAAGTCAGATTATGACGAACTCATTGTTTTTACCGATAACTGTCCTGGTCAGAACAAGACTTGGCAGTTAATAGCTTTTTGGTTGCAGTTAGTCAGGAAACAGAAATTTAAACAAATAACGCATCACTTTCTGTGTAGTGGTCTTTCTGTTATGCCATCAGACCGAGATTTTGCTCAGATTGAGAAGCTCCAGAGAAACCGTGCACCAATTATTTATTCGCCAGAAGTTTGGGTAGATATTATTACGAAAGCAAATAAAAATAATTATTTTGTTGGTACGCAGATGACAAAAAATGATTTTGTCAGTTTTAAACCTCTTCTCAATAATATTAATAAAAATGCACGTTTTCCGGACAAGAAGAGCTTAAATTTTGCAAAAATATACAGATTTCAATTTAAATCAGAAAAAGTAGGTCAATTTTTGTCAAACATACTGTCAATGGAGACTGTCAAAAAGTTAATATCTTAAGAAAAGGCAGACCGTCTAATATAAATGACTATTAAATACTATATATCGCACCCTCAGTAATATAAGGGATCAACTCAAAATTTTGGTAAATTGAGATTTTAGATGCTATGGGCACAAAATTAAATTCTCTACCGGTTAGCGCTGACAGAGAGAGAAATAGGACATTAGTTGCTCGGTAAATATATTTGTGCCTCTCTCTTACTCTCCCCGCCAACCTATTGTTTTTACTGCTACAAGGTAACAATCAGTAACGTGTCCATAGTCGTCAAAGGCGGACTGTTCAAACGTCGTGCGATTCGTGTTTGTGCCCTTCTATGACAAAACTCCTGGTGAGTTTGTATCTTAACATTTTGTATTATATAGAACAATTTTTAGTTTAGCCCTTATATTATGTAAAATGTAATTAATAATTGGGTCTAATTCATAATAGCTCGCTATATTGCCAAAAAGTAGAGATGTTATACGGAATCATATCTTATTGGTTCATTATAGTACGTAAATTGTTTTATTGCTGATGGCGAACTTTGTAATTGGCCCTTATTTACATGAAAATTTTAACTATTTTTTTAATTGATCCGATTAAATTAACAGAAAAATAATTAAGTTGTAGTTTTAAAACAGTGTTTATTACATAGATGCAATGTATTGTTTGTAGTGTAAAATTTTTACATTTTACTTTATTATATAATCCGAGTTCGTTTCTCAGCAAGGTACGTCTAAAGCCAATATTTCCATGCCATCCTTATCGAGATGCGATGAGTTACCATCAGTTAGATCAAGAACAGTAGGTAATTACATAATGTCTTCAATACATTCAGAGGAAAGCGACGTAGACCTCAGTGATGACGATCCCACTTACAAACAAGAGCATTTTCGTCGACGTCCACGGATCACAGCAACTCTAACTTCGATTGATACAAACAATGTAACTATGACAAATGATAACATTCAAAGACAATCCAGAAAACGTAAAGCAGATCCAACCAAATAGATACAAAACACGCAAAAAATGAAACGAAACTTGGGTCAAAGCTATGTAGCTATACATTCGGAGAAATTGGTTCCTGCACGTAATATGAAACCACCTTGTATCCAAAAATGTAGATTAAAATGCAGTAAGCGAATCGATGATTCGAAAAGGTTGAAATTATTTAGTGCATTTTGGGCATTAGGGGATAGACAATTACAAGGAATGTATGTTTTGTCTAATAGCGCACAGATTACACCTAGGTACAAGTATACCAATGCCGAAAAACCACAAAATCCAAACCATGCATTCTATTTTTCCGTAGACAACGAAAGAGTTAGGATAGGCAAAAGCTTTTTTATTAATACTATTGATATTTCTCATAAGATGATTCGAAATGTACATGAAGATAATAGAAAAACTGGGCTTCATAAAGGATGACCAACGCGGCAAACACAATAGTCATAAAAGTGTAAGTGATGAGCTTATAAATGCCATCACCAACTTCATCAACCCTATACCCCGCATTGAGTCACATTATCTAAGAGCATCTACCTCTAGAGAGTACATCAGCAGTGGTAAAAGTATTGCAGAGCTCTTTAGAGATTTTGAAGTACTGCAAGAGGAAAGGTCACGCCCGGCTGGACTATATCACACGTTTTATGAAATTTTTAACACAAAATTTAACCTTGGCTTTTATCAACCCAAAAAAGATCAATGCGATCTTTGCCTGCAGTTCCAAAATCCTACTGAACCACTAAAACAGAATCTTAGGGATCAATATGATACGCATTTGGAAGAAAAGAAGTTATGCAGGGAGGAAAAAAAGAATGACAGAAAGAACATTGATGAGTGCACTATTTGTGTATGTTACGATGTACAAGCCATTATGCAAAGTCCTAACGGTGAAACATCAGCATTCTACTACAAATCTAAATTAAATCGTTACAATTTCACTATGACGAAATTAAAAAAAATTCACGAAAACGATGTGTCAACAATGGACATCTCTAAAGGCTATGACAATGTCCATTGGTATTTTTGGGACGAGACTCAAGCGAAAAGAGGCGCTACAGAAATAGAGAGCTGTGTTTTCCATTATTTACAGATTGTGTCTGATAAAGCTGGTGACAGGGAAGTAAATATAACATTTTTTTCGGATAACTGTTGTGGGCAAAACAAAAATAAATATCTCACATGCTTATACTTATACGCTGTTGCCAATCTAAAAAATTTGTCGTCGATAACTCACAAATATCTCATAAAAGGGCACACTCATAACAAAGCTGATAACGTGCATAGTTTGATACAAAAGCAGATAGCTAGATATAGGAAAACTGGCCCAATATACTCTCCTGTTCAATAAATCTCAGCAATCAAAAGAGCAAGGAAAACTGGTGCTCCATTTATAGTTCACAGTTTAACTTATAATGTTTTTTACGATCTTCAGAAATTACAAGAAAATTGGGGCCATAATTTTAATACAGATGAACAGAAAAATAATCTTGTATGGAATAGTATTAAAGTACTGAAATTTACCAAAGAAGACCCATTTTCGTTTTATCACAAGTGCTCATATAACGATGAGTTTAAAATAGTTAATGTTCGTGATAAGTGGAAGAGAATGCCAAATATTAAAGAAATAACCATGCAGAAAACGTAACTCCAGGCACTTCCACTTCGTTGTGCTAAAAAGAATGATCTTAAGGATCTTATTAATAAACAATTGATATATCCATACTATGCGTCTTATTATAACAACATGTTGTCTTAATATTACTAATCTTTGGGATTTCAACATTATTTTGTGTAGACTGAGTACATAGTCAAAGTACAATAATTAAGTTTTGAGACTGAATTTTATTTTTGAAGACTTTATTTTTTAGAATGAATTTTTTTGTTATGTGCAGTTTTCTAAGTTTAGAATGGAGGAATTAATGTTTTTTTGTTATGTATAATTTTTTAAGTTTACTGTGGAGATATTGTGATATACAATTAAGTAATAAGTAAACGACAATGTAAAAATTGAGGAGTTACTACTTGTAAGTTTTATTTGGAATTAAAAAGTTGAACTAATAAATGTGATAATATTAAAGCTATCTTATTATGTTTAACTCTTGTTTTGAATTTTTTTTAGATTATTGTTATATTTTGCACTGATTAATAAAGTATTACTATTATTTTACCTGATATTTTATTTATAAAACAGAAACAATAAATTCAAACATCGATTGGGATTGGTGATATAGAGTACCATTTACGATTAAAAATTAAACAGTTGCAGGTACATTAATAATATAAGGGATCAAACTTTAATAGTTCCTTATTTCTGTTATGGTTTTTTATACTATACGGGACTAACTCGAAAGTAGTTTTTTCCATTCCTTGTAATTAATAGAATTTATTTATATTATTATTTTTTCCTCATTGTAATTTTTAGTGCAGTTATTAAATAACAAATCTGCCAAATTTCATATTTATAACTTAAATAATAACCACGTTATATGAAAAAATAGCTGTAATGTCAGATACCAGAATCTTTAAACGCGATTTCCCACAAATCTACTTTTTTGAATTGTGCCTCTATATTACTGAGGGTGCGTATGGTGAAATATTGCAAAGCAGAATTTTTTGTTATGTTGGTTGAATGATGTGATTGACAATTTCATTCAACGAGGTATTGGTAGAGAGGATTAATTTTTCTAAATCCAAATCAAAAAATGGATCCTATTAAGGTCCTTGAGAAGGACGTTTAGAAAAGAAATTGGCTTGTGTAAGTAAGGATAGTTTCGTGGGTTGCTATTTTCGAAAATTTGGACAAAATTGTTCAAATCTGTGAATTTTTTTTAATACACGTTTTTGAATTGTATGCAATGTGCATCCTGAAATAGAGTTCATCAAAGAACAAATTTTCTCTAAAAGAAAAAAATATATATTACTAAAGAATGTGCAAAATTATGAGGTTAATTTATTCGAGAATACAATAATTTAATCAATGTTATCACTATAATATGATTCAAGTGGCCCATTTTTGAAATATTTGACTTTTGTATATAAAGCAAAATGTTCGCAGTGGATATCATTGTGAAATATAATTCTCAAACATGAAAACTATATTGATTTTGGCACTTTTGAGCTGCGTTGGTAAGTAAATTGCTTCTATAACTTACTGTAACTTTTTTTAATTAACTGTTAGCATTATTTGTTCTATGTGTACTCTTAGAATCAATTGGTATACGTTTGACATATACTATTCATCTCATGGTATAAAAACTTAACATTTTATATTTAAAATTTGTGATAATTATTTTCAAAAATTGTTCAGAAAGTTCATTTTACTATTTTTACAAACCCAAAAATTATTTTTCTAGTTTAAGGATTTGTTAAATATATTAAATGAGTTATTTTTAAAAATCATTATTTTTTTTTGCAGCTCTTACCATTTACGCTCAAGGTCCCGAACCTGAGCCCACCCATGAGCCTGAGCCTGAACCTACCGATGAGCCTGATGAGTAAGTAACAATAAATAAAAATATTAAATTGTTTACATGACCAACTGAACCAGTAAATATTATAAACAATTAAGACATAACTCACTTAATTTAAGAACAATGTTCTTCTTAATTAATATGATATTTGTAAGGTAAAGAGAAAAACAATAATATTAGTATATTTAATAATCTCCGATATATAAAATAAAATTTGTTCCAGATTCAAGTGCGACGTTTGTATAACATTTGGAACTATAATCAAGGATTACGTTGACGAGAAAGTTCCACTGGTAAGAGCAATTAGATATTTTTATCATTAAATGTAAAATCTTAAACTTAATTCTTACATTTCGAACACTATTCTAAATTACTATATACCTAAAAGTGACTTTGTCAAAATCTAGATGCAATTATATTTTTTTTTTCGTCTAGTAGTGAACTATGTATGAACCTATTATACTGTCCCGCCTACTCTAGTAAAATTTTTATATCTTTTCTCCTTTGGGAAACTTAATTTGAATAGTTTTACATGTATCTCAACTCATTAAATATTTTTAATTATATTGCTTCTTCTTCCCTGTTTGGAAAGTTCAGTTCATCTCAGTTCATTTTACTCTGGATGCAGCAGTAGAGTTCCATTTTTGTTATTCCAGTCTATTATAATGAGTTAAATTTTTTAACCAGGACGTGGGTCATCTCGCTGGTCCTCCCTTTTCTTTCACCTTTTTTGTTTTTTTTTCATCTTTAAGCTGGCCAGTTTTTTCTTAGTTGCGTCCGCAATTTTTCAGCCTTCAACTTCATTACAAAAGGGCAGAGAATACTTACCATCTCAATATTAGTAATTAAGCATATAATATATTCTAATATGATTGTATTCTTATAGGAAGAAGTTAAAAAAGACGCCGACAGATTATGCCATGATTTGGCAGATCACTTGAAGGAAATTTGCGAAAAAGATTTGCTTCCAAATCTCGACAAAATCTACGAAGGGCTACACGAACATACACCTGAAGATTTATGCGAACATTTGCATTATTGTGGTAGACATTAAAATATTTTATATTATATGTAAATCTTTTTATAAAAAAACAAAATAAATATTTAAATGTTAAATTTAGTTTATTTAGTGTTATATATATGTAGTTGTTATTTAGTTTATAAATTTAGTGAAATAAATTTAAAATTTGGCGTTGCTGATCTAATAAATTTTTTTGGTAAGCATTTTACTGGTAACATACGTTAAGCTAAGTGTTCTTTTGTTTTGTATAAAATGACTACACTTTCTTTGTCAAATACTATTCTTTGTTTAAGGTTAAAATGGTCAAAACAAAAGTAACAGAATTAAATTTGCTGCCTTGTCTATTTGCCTATGATGGACCCCTGTATCGTTACCTATGACGGACCAGGGGTCCATCATAGGAAAAAGAAAATAAAATTGGACACACCTTCGGTTTTTGTTACTTAATGATTAACATAATATGTTTTACAGGGATGGCTCTACAAAAAAGGCAACAGTGGAACGAGAGTAATATGCAACAAGCTTTAAAATGCATACAAGAAAAAACTATGGGGTTTAAGCTGGCAGCAAAAACATTTAACGTTCCAAAAACGACTTTGAAAAGGCGTTTTATTAAGCATCAAAGAAGTATCAAAGGTGATTTGGGAGGACGAAGACCAATATTCTCCACTCTTATTGAACACGAAGTTGCTGACCATATTATTACTATGGAAACTCGTTTTTTTGGCCTGACTAATAAAAATTTGCGAAAACTTTAAAACAAAATCCTCGAATATCATTACGCACTCCAGAAAATACTTCGTTAGCAAGGGCTCAAGCTTTTAATAAACCAAATATATATGTGCCTATTTAACATCCTAATCACACAACTCTTAAACCCAAACCCCCATCACCCCCAAACACCACATTCCCTCTACCTTAAATCCCCCCATATCCCCTCCCACCCTCCTCCCTATACAATCACTACCCTTACCCTCCCCCCTAATATCCAAACCCTAATATACTCTCTCTCATACAACATAAACTTTACTACATATCCCATCCTCCAATTCCAAACATAACCCATCAATCAAAAACACATCCCTATCCTCTCACCCAACATAACTCAATCCCCCACCATTCATACACTCCAACTCACCCTCCCCCTCATTCATCCAATACAAAAACAAATTTTATCCCCAAAAAACCTACACCCCTTCCAACCACCCCCCCCCCCCTAAAATAAATAACACACTCATTCCCCCATTACTACCCCCCCCCCCCCTAAATCCTAACTTAAATCCCCCCTTCCCACCTTACAACAAATAAATAAAACACACCATAACACCAACTCCCAAACCAATTATACTTCAAAAAACACCCAACCCCCAACACAACCCACCCAACCCCACCATTCAACCACCCACCAATTACCCCCCCCCCTACAACCCCCAAACAACCCCCCCCCCCCCCCCCCCCCCCCCCCCCCCCCCCCCCCCCAAAAAACCCCCCCCCCCCCAAAAAAATAACCCCCCCCCCCCCCCCCCCCCCCCCATTTTAAATTTTTTTTTTCTCCCCCCCCCCCCCCCCCCACCGCATTTTTTTTTTTGTGCCCATCCTACCATTGGGTCACACACACCACACACTTAGGGGGACCCAGACGGCACAAACACCTCCTCCCATATTTAAGTAGCCAGTCTCTTTAATAGAGCGTATTTAAAAAGTGCTTTACCATCAAATGCAATCAATGCATTTAAAAAGACAGGAATACAACCATTGAATCCAGATGTCTGCGATAATTGGCAATTTTTGCCGTCTATAACAACAGATACAGAAAATTCTGAACAAAACCCACTGCTAGAATGTTCTGACCAAAAGTCACCACCGGAACATTGGAGCCAAAATGTTTCTTCGATTGAAAGTTTATCAAAAAGCCCCACTGATCAGAAATCAACATCATCGTCAGTTCTAAACATCTCGGTAGAAGATATTTGTCCTCGTCCTTTAGCTGGAGTATCTCAAGTAATGCAGAAAAGGGGTAGAAAACGGGATAAAACAGGATTTAAGTTCAACGCTAGAAATTAAAGATATAAAACAAAAAATTGCAGACAAAGAAGCAAAAAAAAAGGAAACAAGACGCCAGAATAGTGAAAAGGCAAGTTCGTGTTTCAACTACAAGTGGTTCTGAAGACGATTGTGAATGCTCTTTTGTAGAAGGCGACTCGGACGATGCAGCTTGCATCTACTGTAACGAACTATTTTCGCATTCACGATCCAATGAAAAATGGATTCGTTGTCAAGTGTGTAAGAATTGGTGTCACACTGAATGTGCAGATGTAAATCCTCGACATAAACAATTTGTGTGTGAATTGTGCGCGTAATTTTTTTATTCTTAAAAATACCATGTGTAATATTTTTTATCGTTTGTAATGTCTTTTGATCTAATAAAATAATTTGGTATTTAATTATTTTACACAAAATGCAACGAGTCCATGATGGACCCTTAACAGGATCTTAGTAAATTATGAATAAATTTTTAACATCACTTTTTCTGCAAAATTTGAAACATTTGCCATATTGTAAAAATAACGAGACGTTATGTGGTCATATTTAAAGTCTGCTAAGTAAATAATTAAAATTATTATGAAGCTATTTTCTTAAGGGGACCATCATAGGCACATTTTCCCTACCTAACTTAAAGCATGGAAGGCCCTTTATGTCAAAAACAACGTTTGGTACCTGTTAAAAATAAAAGATTTTTTAAGTTATAAGTTCATGTACCAGTAAACCAGTAATTTGTGTTATGTTACTACATCACTCCTCATTAATAAATCTTATAGAACCCATCTTCCTACATATGCCTTTTTTACCATTTTCTAGGTACCAAATGTTTCACAACATACAGGGCCGTTTGTTAAAATCTTTAGTTTAGAATAAATAAATCTAGACAAATGTATAGTTGGTTGCCTATCGATCCTACAAAATTTTATATACTTCAGTTTACTTACATTAATTTTAAAAAACAATTTTTTCAATGTTTCCAATATAGCCATATGATTAATTCACATTACAGACTACAACAGTGATGGTTGATACTGTTACATTATTATAATTTTAACTTTTTCAATTTACAATAGTGCTGGCTTCTGTCATTTTTAGACAACTTCCTTAAGTTACACTGACTGCTCTTACCCAACATCTGTCCTAACATGTCAACAATGTCATTTTTATCAGTTGTTATCAACAGGTCCTCAAAGACACTTCGTCTCAGGACCATTTTACCTATGTGGGGTCATACGTCGCCATGTTACCAATTCCAACGGTAACTTAAACATCCTAATTTGTAATTATATATTATGTAAAACAACTATAAATTTATAACATTTAACGGATTTTGACACATATATTTTGGTTGCTCATAGCATGTATACCCCGTAAGTATTAACCACATTGTGCTTTAACCTTAATCAACGTTTTAAATTCAACTTTCTTTTTAATTAAAGTGGTTATACACTTGCAGGTTTACACTGATGATGGAATTAACATTTCGAAAACGTTCTGTAATGTAATTGTGATAGCCCGTTTGGGCATTTTATTATATACCTTTTATAAAGGATTTGAAATAAAATTTTTTATCTTAAATACTTCTTTCTGATCATACTATGAAACGTCGCATTGCTAATATGGTCAAAGACATACAAAATCAGGTAGTTGATGCAGTAAAACAATCTCCATTGTTTGCTATTCCGATAGTCGAGAGTACAGACATAGCACAATGTTCTCAGTTAATTGTTTATGTTTAGTATATTGAAAACGAAAGAATAAAAGACGAGCTACTCTTTTCTACAGAGTTGGAGACCACGACAAAAGCTATTGATGTTATGAAAGCAGTGTCAGACTTTTTTGACAAACATGAACTCTCTTGGCAAAAACTGATCGGTGTATCTACGCATGGTGCGCCTTCAATGCTTGGTTCTCGCTCATAATTGGTACAATTAGTAAGAGAGAAAAATGCTGATGTGACTAAGATACATTGTGTTATTCATCGACAAGCCTTGGCAGTAAAAACTCTTTCAAATTTACTGAATGCTGTTTTAAAATAGTGTATTAAAGTGGTAAATTACATAAAAACTGCGTTGAATATTCGACTGTTGAAAACTCTTTGTGAAGATTTAGTCATCACCTTCTTGGAATAGCAAAAGCAAAATGAACTAAGCGTGGCCTCCAAAAAACATTGTACCCAAGTAATATTGGCTTATTTGTCAGACATCTTGGATTCGTTGAACAGCCTTATTTTTTTTTAATTGTATTGCCAGATTTCAAGAGCCTAAAAAGGTAATTGATGGATTCGACCGTTACTTGATGGAAATTCATTTTATGTAACAATAAAACACTGAAAACTTTGTTTTCAAACTTCCACAAAATTTATTTTAAATATTATCACTACAGCTGTTTCGGCTGATTGCCTTTCTCAAGTGATCTATTTTGGCTTGGGTTTACAAATTTATAGTCTCTAATGAAATAGGTTGAGGAGGGGAGAACTGTTTGTCTCAAGTTGGTCATTCAGAATTATATCTGTGTTTTTTAGTTTGTTGATTTCCATAGATTCTAACAAAGATAGCTTAAGGCCTTTATTTTGAATGTGAAGAATTTTAAATTTGTCATTAAAAGAATGATTATGATCTAGAAGGTGAAGTGCGTATGTCGAATCTGTTTCTCTATTTGTAAAAGCCCTTTTATGTTCTGCTATTCGTTTATCAAAGTTTCTACCAGTTTGACCGATGTAAGTTTTTGGGCAGTCGCCACATTGAAGTTTGTACACACCACTATTTAAGTGTTTTTTATTTTGGCTCTTGTTGTTTTTAATATATTTGCATAGATTGTTATTTGTTCGGAAAGCTGGTGTTATTCCTTTCTTTTTTATGTGTTTGGCAATTTTTGTTGTTATTTTGCCTGTATATGTAATTGAGCAGAAGGTACTGGGTTTTTTCTCTGGTGGTGGAAATACTAATTTCAGGGCTTTCTTATGTAGTTTTAGATTTAACATTTTATTAATTGTTTGTTCGTTGTATCCGTTGTTAACTGCTATTTGTTTAATTATATTTAATTCTGTCTCAAAGTTGTATTTTGACATCGGAATTTCTGTTAATCTATGTAACATACCATGATAAGCTGCCAGTTTATGTTGTGTTGGATGGGATGACGAATTTTGTATAGTCGTGTCAGTATGGATAGGTTTATGAAATATGGAGAAGTCATGTTTGTTTTGAAGTCTGCTAATTTTTAAATCTAAAAAATTTATGGATTGATTTTGTTCTGTTTCTATTGTAAATTAAATATGACTATGAAGTGAATTA